TCTCTCTCTCTCTCTCTCTCTTTCTTTTGCTATATTTTCCCTGGAAAGTAAACTACTACATATAATTGCTAGCCATTCTTTCCCCCTATTCTCATGTTTATTCATTGGTCTTTCCCTTCACAAAAATCATAACAATTGAGTCTGTAGATGCTTCTTAAATCTCCTATTATCCTTATTATGAAGCTATGCTAACATGAATATATCCAATATATTAAGAACTCTCTAGTTATTGAATTACTTGGACTTTTATTATGGGGATCTTTGTAAGTATAAAATTTAGTCTTAATTTTTATAAGCCTTTTAATTTCTTAGTTCAAAACTGAGAAATCCATAATATACAGCCAAATGATGAAGAATTATTTGCATAAATGGAAGTTTCTGATTATTAGTTAATGAATACTTGGCAGTACTCTTGCCATTTCTCAGAAAGTCTCTGTTAAAGTTTCCTTCTGTCTGTCTCTCTCTCCCTCTCTACACACACACACACACACACACACACACACACACACACACACAGACATATAGTCACTTAATTTGATTAATAGCACAGACTCTGCCACTGTAAAGTCCAAGATTTTAAGTAATTCTTGTTCTGTGATTTCTGGTCCATGTTTCTTTAGGCAAATAACATAATATCTCTTACCCTTATTATTTGCATCTGTAAAATAGAAATTAATCATCATGATTGTTTTGAGAATTGTGTGCTATAATATGAATTGAGTTTCTTTTACAGAGCCAGGCACAAAACAGGCACTTAATAGATAGCTAATTTTATTATGTTTTTAGTATTATTTATGTCCCAGTGTTCCCTGAATCTGTGAGTCCCCATAAGGAATTATAATTTTTTATAAATTGAGCAATACCTGTTATCAGCAGCAACTTATTAAGCTCATTACTTTCCAGTGCCAGTCAGATTTTTTGGCCTTTGTGTTTGCCTGTTGTGGGGCCTCAATAGATATTTACTTATTACATAAGTAAGTAAATAAATAAGTCCATAAATGAACTATTTCAGTGCTACTTTTTAGAAGGTTGAACAAATATGATACAGTAAGAGATGACAAAACACTCTAAAGAAAAAAATGGCCACATCACTTATGTGCCCATGGGATAGCCTAGGAAAAATACAAAAGAAAAGTGTATTTAATACTTTATATTAACTATTTCTAAAATCAAACACAAAATTCTCTGATGATTTTTAATGTTTGTCCCCATAAAAATAATGTGGAATTAGTCCTACTAAAGATAGAACATTGAATTATACATGTACGTGAAAAAGAGTTAGAAGGTGAGTGACTGGTTGTAACAAAAGGAAGAGAGAGAAATGGCCTTTTCTATATGCTGTAGTACCTTTGAGTAAAATACTTCCTAAATCTAGCTACAAAATGGTGTGTTATATAGATGGTGTTAGCCACCTTCTGTGTTAAAGATTTCTACTGTGGAGATCAGATTTTGCCATAGAAAGGATTTGTAAAAGTAACACATTTGCCAGTATCATTGGCAGTCATGAATGCCAACAAAGTGAGCCTCTAATTTAAATTTGTGATCATGCTATCCTATAGTAGCACTTTCTTGTGAGGTTCATTCTGTGGAAAAGATGAATAGAAAATGTATAAAAGTGAAGCTTCTATAGACTGAAATGGCTATATAATTTTGAAAATATAAAATACATTAACCAGGGCCAGGGATTTAGCTCAGTGGTTTCACCGCCTGCCTCATAAGCACATGGTCCCCAGTTGAATCCCTGGCACCAAAAAAACAAAAACAAACTAAAATACATTAACCAAGATCATTACAGCATTTTACATTACTATTTCATCATTAAATATTGCCTATAATCAATATTCATGATAATCTCTGACCTCTGAAATGGAATCATGCTCACAACATACCTGAATCATATAAAGATAAACTCAGAAAGTGCTTGATTTCTCAATACTTTATTCTTAGAACAGTTATTTACAGAAAAATTAAGATATTGCAGAGATTTCCTACATATTCCATACTCATTTTCCTTCATTAACAATATGCCACATTTTTAAAAATTAAGCAAAAATATTGATACACTGCTTTGACTAAAGTCCACACTTTAGTCATATTTCCTTAGCTTTACCTAATGTGTGTGTGTGTGTGTGTGTGTGTGTGTTTCCAGGACTCTATCTACATTAGTTGTCTCCTTAGACCTCTCTTGGTTAAGATGGTTTTTCAGACTTTCCTTGTCTTTGAAGATACTGATCATTTTGAATAATAATTATCAGGTATTTTTCAGGCTTACCTACTTCTGTAATTTGATGCTTTTCGCACAAGATAGGGTCATATACTTTAGAAGGAAGACTATGGAGGTGAAGGGACATTTTGTCACATCACATTAAGGATAAGTGCTATCAACATTAAATCACATTATATTATATAATATATTATATTATATTCACATTGAACTTGATCACTCAGCTGAAGTAGTGGTTGTCAAGTTTCTCCATTGTGAAGTTGCCCTTCTTTTCTCCTATTCATACCAGATTCTTTGGAAAGATACCACTATGCTTAGCCCACAGTTAAGGAGTGGGCAGTTATGTCCCCCTTCTAGAGTGGAGTATGTGGACTATTTGGAATTCTTCTGCTATGAAAATGTGTCTATTTCCCCCCATTTATTATTTTTAATCTAATAATTTACTCATATCAGGGAGACCCATGGGCTTTTATTTTATACTTTTGAGTTATAATCAAATACTACATTATTTTGCTAAATTGGTCCAGCATGGCTATTGCAGGCTCTAGCGGTTGACTCCTGTGCTGTTTTGACAGGACATCAGTATGGAATTATTTGACTGTGTAGAACTTCCTTAATCTCTTATATTACAAGATGTCTTAGTTTATTTTTTATATTTTCAGTTCTGGGTCTAGGATTGGCCATTTCTCCAAGAAATTGTGCTTCTTTTTATTGGAAAATGGTATTGGACACTAAAATTTGGATTCAAAATCTGCTCACTGCTACTGAAGTGTCACTGCTATTAGATCTTCAGAAAGAAGATCTAGAAATTCACCTTGTATGTCCACACATGTATAAATATTTATATGTCTGGCCATATGTATCTATATTAGCCTAAGCATGAGTTTATATCTCCAAATATAACCCATTACCACACAGATCATTCTAGCCATGTTTCCTTATTTATCTGTACATTTTACCCCAAACAAATCATTTAACTTTTAAAAGCATGAAAATGAAATTTTAACACTTTTAGCTATTGGGAAGCCATATTATCTAGCATGACAATTTCTAGAGGGAATGATGTGCATCATCAAACTTAAATTTATGGACAAAAGCACTTTTTACCATAAACATACCTCTATACTTCTGTTCTGACAAAACAAAATAGTCTCATTTCTCTTGAGGCTTCTTACTTACAACTAAGATCCTGACAAGTGCCTCCCCCTCTCCAAATCAGGAAGGACACTTAACAAAGTGGTCCTAGACAGGGCTAGTTAATATTGAACTCCCCACACACAGTCATGAGGGTCAATGAAGAGCTTAGCCTCCACCCATATTTAATGTCAGTAATAGAGGTTCTAAGTTGAAGATAGTAGGCACTCCAGTTTCCCCCATACCAAGTGCTAGTGGGATCCAATGGAGAACTGACTCTCAAACTCACATACACCTGCAACAAGATGGAATGAAGTGGTACAAATAAAATAAGTGACACTTGACTTCCTTTTCCCCTGGTGTCAGGCAGTGATTAAGGGAATGAGTACTTCTTCCCATTTAGAGGTAACAAGATTTTGTGAAAGGTCCCACTGTCTTTGAGAAGGTGACAGTAAGGCCAAAAATAGAGTTAAATTTCTTTCTCACCTGTTTGCACTAAGTTGATGTGAGTTAATATCCCATTTTTTGCTGCAGTGTTTATCAGTTGAGCCCAGTGGAAGACTGCACATTCACTCCCAGCTAACCTTTACCGAATATCTCGACATAGTGGAACTCCTTGCTTTAAAAAAATAGTAAGATTAACAAGAATCCAGATCTATATAATACTCATAACATCTAGAATACAACTGAACATTATTCATCATACCCTAAATCAGCAATGAAGGAACAAGACAAGCAGCATACACCAATATCAAAAGAAATGAGTTGTTAGAATTATCTGACAAAAATTTTAAGTAAATTATCAGATAAATATTTCAAAAGGCAATTATGTGTTTCTTGAAATATATGAAAAACAAAGAAAATGTAAGCAAATAAATAGAAGGTATAAAAATAAAAACAAGTGGAAAAGATAGAAATAAAAAACAATAACCACAATAAAAAGCCTCGGTGGACAGGCTCAAGAGCAAAGGAGATATGACAAATCATCAAAGAATCATTGAACTTGAGGTCAGATCAAATGAATCTGCCAAGCCTGAGGAAAAAAAAAATGAGAAAAAAGGAAACTTGGTGGGAGGTGGGTCAGGATCTCAGGAACTTGTGGAACAATTCAAAAAGAGGTAACATTCATGTCATCAAAGTTCCAGAATGAAAAGAAAGCACGTTCAAACATTTGCAAAAGACACAAACTTACAGATTCAAAAACTTTAGGAAAAACTAAATAACATTTTTAAAAAGACATATACATGAATACATACCATAATTAAACTTCTGAACAATAAAGGCAAAGAAAAAACTCTAGAAAATAGAAAAAAATGCATTAATTGTAGAGAAAAATAAATTCAAATGACAGTGTATTTTTGGTCTGAATTTATGGTGGCCAGAAGTACTATACTGGCATAAAAGTTTTCAAGAAAGAACTGTCAAGGGGCCAGGGATTTAGTTTAGTAGCATCGCGCCTGTCTCCCAAGTGCAAGGTTGTGAGTTCGATCCCTAGTACCAAAAAAAAAGAACTGTTAAGTATAAATGTTACATCAAATTACTTATGTGATTTATATTACTAAGCTACTATTTTTTTTTGTACCAGGGATTGTACTTGGGTCCTTGCACTTGCGAGGCAGGCGGTGGAACCACTGAGCTAAATCCCTGGCTGAGCTACTAATTTTTTTTGTATCCAGGATTGCAACCTCTATTCTCCAAAAGTATTCCCAAAGTAATCTTTCTAAAATAGCAACAAAAAAAGCCTTTAACTCGTGTTGATCATATTATGGAAATTAACTTTTCTAACTTCAGCTTTCCAGTTAAAAAACAATCAATGGGTCTCCCCCTCCATTGGATTATTTTTCATATTGTTACCATACATACACGGATCATTCATTCCTTGGTTAGTACACAATATTCTCTCCATTGTCTTTGTTTTTTACACCTCTCTGAGTACTGTTTATGCCAATTACGTATGACACTCTTTTTTGTTCCATGTATAACCATACTTTTTCTTGTCATTGTAAATGTCTCTCCTCTTTGCCTCAAAAACTCACTTCTCTTCCCATTACAAGACTAAATTCAGTATTACCTTCTACACAAAGACAGGTAAATATTCCTCATTTACTGCAGACTTGTAGTAAAATAATGAACTAAAGAGAGTTAAATTCTAATTGTTTCTTCCCATAGCATTCTGTAATTAAAATAATAATGTATGAAAATAATGATTCTAATGTTCGTATCTACCTTATACCCTGGTATACATAAGGAATTCAATAAATGTATGTTGAATGAATAGTCAACATAAAATCTTAATTGTATCTGTTTATTTATTAGGATTCTATCGAACATAAAGATAGTTTGCAAGGAGACTAGGAAATTAGAATCCTACACATGATTTTGTAGAGGATAGGTTACTGATATATCATCAGTAAATAGGAAATACCTATTAAATAGGTATTTAAATACCTAAAAGGAAAATAATTAACTGAAAAATTTAAGATTATCAATTTGGCCTTAAAAGCCAATCACTGATACCTCACTGTCATTGAATCAGGTATTGTCACTGCCCCTTTTCCAGCTCCCAGCACTCATCATTTCAGTATATACTGACGGACTCATGATGCACCTGCTGTTACCAAGGAGCAGGCCAGAGTGCCAGGAGTTAATGTATCTGGGTATAGCTTTCAACCAATTACAGAAGTAATTTGGGATCCAAGTACATTAGCTTTCTCGCAACTCTGAGGTGTGTTCTGTAGAGTCTCACTGAACTCTGCTGAAGGACTAGCAGTCATCCACAGGAATAACCTGTTCAGGAACACACCTTTACCTGCCTCATTCCATGTCTCTGTTCTCAATTTCCATTTGACTCCTGAGTTTCCTAGGACTACCTCCCAGATAAACATATGGCATGCAAATTCTTTTCTCAGGTTCTGTTTCTGGGAGGAGCACAACCTAAGCAAATTGCAAACCATTTCTAGCCTCCTAACAGTCCAGCGCCCCTTGTAGGAGCATCAGTGGTGCAGGCAACAAGGGATAGCTCAGTATATGATGCTCCTCCTAGTTTCTAGTGTTTTCTAACAGATGGAAAAGAGCATGATCTTTAAAAGAACTTATGGAGAATGGCCTATGGAAGGAAGGAAGGAAGGAAGAAGAGATAGTGTCACTTGTTTTCTCATAATGATGATACAGAATTTATGGGCAGATGGTCTGTAGCAGGTGTGACTATAATTAGAGAAGATTGTTTCTTTAGTCACTGAGGAAACTGCTATTATTATTTTGGAATCACAACCTCAGGCTTTATTGCATCATTTGCTTCCTTTTACCTTAATGTCCATCTTCCAAATCACTGGCTAGCCGTCAACAGATTTATTCTTTCTCCACCAACCCATCACGAAAAGCTACACACACACACACACACACACACACACACACACAGTTTGATATTTGCCAAAGCTCTGAAAGACATCAACAGTGTCTGAAATATCCTCCAACATGTTTAGATGCTTATTTTATTAACAAATAAGTTCAATCAAATAATTTTCTAGAACTCTAAGTGAAGACTTATGAAAGGTCTAGGTGAAGACTAAAGAAGAAAAATAAATTTTAAAGGATAAGACTTAGAAAACTTGAGTATTTTGCCCTCACTTTGATAATTCACAAAGGATAATCAGCCTTTTAGGAAGTTCTTACTTGGATCAAAGGTCCAAAACACAACCTGTACTCTTGTCATGTGTTTGCATTGTACTAAAATTTATATATCATGAAAAAAAATTTATATATGAATTTCTCTTTAGTTATTGTATGGTTTAGAAGAAGTACGCTTGGACATTTACTTAAAACTGTAAATAGATGAGATCTACATGTACAGATAATTTCCCTTTTCCTTGCTATCTCTATTTTAGCTGCCTGACTTTCTAAGAAGACCTGGTTTCCCCCAAAGAAGCAATTTCCCATAAAAGTCTGAAGCTTATCTCCAAGAAAAAAGAAAAATCAGTGAATTAAGGAGGTTTCCAATGAGGTAGGAACACTGAATCACACACACACAGAGTCTGCCAAAAAATGTATACCCGCTTCAGGAAAAGAAAAACTTGTATAAATATTTTAATGCTAAATTTATTGAGACATCATGAGATTAATACAAGTTATCTTTGGCCTCCACAATTACAAGTGGTCCTCAAAGTGGTGAACATTAGTTACCAGGTATTTATTAGTGCAGGTAGCCATGGTCATTGAGATTGCTGCACATGCATTTTCAATTTCTTCTCTAAGTGTAGTGGGTATTCTGCGATATACAACATCCTCTAGGGTCTCCCCATCTGTTGCAAAAACATCATACTATTTTTCTTTTTCTGAGGTGTGTATATATTTTTTTGGAGAACTGTGTATATAATCATTCAAATTAAGTGTGCTGATAGGTGGACAGCTGTTTGAAAAGAGTAATAATATCTGACCCACCACACAAAGAAATTGCTCACAATTCCCTTGGAGGTGATGGTGTTTATCAGAGCGTACCCTGGAGGAAAGAGAATACAATAACAGCATGATGCTTTTTTCCATTTTTAGCTCATTGTTACTAAGTACACTTAGTGATCTCTGTGCCTGTGGTTTAATCACAGGAGGTTAGGAGTGTGGCGCAGCAGATTAACCCATTTGGTATTTTCTCTTAACACGATACATTTTCATAGTTTAACTTCATGATCTTTTAGTTGCTTATCAAAATTAAGGGCATCAAGTCCTGTAAATGAGTCACAGTCCTAGTCAAAATGTGAACAAATTACCTTGGTTCTTGTTGGGGCCAATCTAGCCTTGGGCTGGGCACAAAATGAGTGCACATAGGGAGCTAGAAGTGAGAAGAAGGGGCCTATGAAAGAGGTACTCTGTTTTCAGTTACCTGTGTATGTCAGGATCCCACTGACAGTTTTCTTTCCATCTGCAATTTCAGATTAAAACTTAAGGAAAAAGACGTTCCCATCTTATGACAAGACAAAAGACAAGCAGTGACATCCAAATCTGGGAACAGTTTTCTCATTTATAGCTATGTACAGTGCTCAGTATTTAGCACAGCACTTGACTTCTGGTCAGTAACTAAAACAATGATGCACATTGAATGATGGGTGGATGAATGAGTTGAAATCAAGTTAATGTAGTAGAAAAGATACCTGTACTTTTATTCCCTTGTGGTCACTCTGTAGTCTCAGGACCCAGCACCATAAATGACACACCAAATATAAGCATAAAATTTATTGAATAAATGTGCGATCCTCATGTTTCAAAGAATAATCATAAGACTAGCCCAGACTCCATGTTTGCCAAGGTCTATGACATAAATATAATGTGAAAGCCCAATCTTATATTATAAATGCAGCTGACAATCTGTCTAGTTTTTAGACTGATTTTTAATAATTTTTACATAACATCATTTATTTTTAGGAACAACACAAGACCACTAAATGACCGGTTATGGATATAAAACCCCTCTGATAAGCTTCTAAACTATATTATTAACAAAATATGTTTTCAAACATTTGTATAATGATAAAGTTAAGGACAATTTCAGAGTCACTAGCTGCTCACAATTCTGATTCATACTTTTTCTACAGTTAGTTTTGCAACAGCTATTTCTCTGTAAAGTACTGTTGCTGTCTTCTCAGTCCTAAGGGAGAACAAAAGCCATTTCATTAGAGAAAGAAATGAAAAATTTAGCATGAAAATGCAGTTACCACAAAACCAAATCTGCCTTCAGTAAATCCATTCAGCCACACCCAGAACTATAGGCTAATCTAATCATTGGATGGATCTCCCCCGAACTCTCTTGATCCATATTCACACAATCTAGGTCCAACCACCTCCAAAAAACCCCACCTATGAGCCCAGGAGGCCTTGAGGAGACATCTAGATACAAGCCAAAACCTTTAGATATAAACCATAACATACATCTGTTATGCTTTTACTCTCTTACAAATTCTTCCTGTAATTTAATCTTCTTGATCTCTATATAGCCTGATTTTAATTACTTAGCATTTTGTAATACATTTAAGATATCTCTGATGAATCATTTCTTTTAGTCATCTTACAAAATATTGAAAGACGTTTAAAACCATATGTTACAGTAAGATATTGGAGAGTGTGGGTAGGGGGAGGAAGCGAGGGAAGTAGAGAGATAGAATGAAAAGATGAATTCATATATGGGGAACAGGAATATAAAGAATCTATATCTTCTATAATTGCTTGAAATTGAATACACTATGAGCACTCACAGGAAAGAGCATGTTGCCAAGGCTTTGAGAATTTTGCACAAAATATTGGAAAATTTATTAAATAAAAATTATAACAACAATGTAAGGTTTTTACCTTGTTTGCCTTTCAATTCCCTATAATCATGAAGTTGTGGCATCATAAAATGTTTAGTGTTTGAAGATGATCTATCATTTTATACTTCATCT